CACACAAACTCTTACACTCTAAGTTATCTGCAGATGACTTATAATAACTGATACAAGGTAAATCATATGTACATAGTTGCTATAATGTTTTGCTTAAGGCAGTAATGACAAGAAAAAAACTAAGTGTTCAGTACAGATGACTGAACTACATAGAACACACAGCAACAATGTAATGTTCTCTCATTACTTGGGTGGTTGAATATGAGGATGCAGAACCAATGATTATGGACAGCTGACCCTGCTCACATCTCCAAACACATGCAGGTTCTTACATTGCAATAGGCACGTGTACTTGCATGTTATCCTCCATGTATGTACATGGGTTTGCACATGTACATGCCCATGGGCACTCAGGTACATTCATCTGTCCCAGCATGTGCACATCATTCCTTCTGTGTTCATACCTGTGCTCAGGTAAACCAAAGGACACACACACTTCCCACTTCCCACTGTGCATGCTTCATATACACGTGGCACCTCGCCAGCACACACACACAGGTATACTTGCAATGCAACCCTTGCCCCATGGGGCAGTAGAGCTCAGAATAGAATGCGAGGGTGGTAGGGTGTGGTTGAGGAGGTCCCCCCAGCCCACTCCTGAAAGCCACCCACCTGATCCTGGCCTAGGCACTGTGTCTCTGGTTTGGGCTTCAGTCCTGGATCCTGGGACACCACAAATCAGGAACAGCTCTCGCCCGAAGCCTGCTATGAATGCAAGATCAATGGCCTCTCCCCTCAGGACCGACCACGTCGCAGTGCTCACAGAGGCCACCAGGTGCCACAGGGACAGTGCTGGAGGGGGCAACCATGGGGACTGCCCAAGGGTGGGAAGAGGGCTGTGGTCCCCCAAGAAAGAGCACTAGACTCCAGGTGCCATCTTGGCCCTCATGTCATGGTGCCTGCCCAGGTCTCCCTGTACTTCCTCAGACCTAGTTTTCCCTTGAGGACTCTTGGGGCCCCCAGACAGTTTGCCTCACTCCTGATGAGAACTCAGATACGTCCTATACTGACCTTGGCTGGGTTGGGGTGCTTCTTGTGGATTCCCTCTTTTGGTGGCATTTAGAGGCAGGAGAAATACATTGGTCTCTCTAAACCCTCTGTGCACTCTGGAATGTCAACCCTTACCATCTGGTTAGTGAAGCCCTCCATCAGAACTATTCTAGATTTAGCACTGCTCAGAGCAGCCAGATAACAGCCTCTGCCTCAAGTTCTGCCCTGTTCATGACTCCTGGGCTGGGCACATTGGGATGAAATCTGGACAGAGGCTTTGTGCCTTTGCCTGCAATTCCCACTTTCTGCCAGTAGGTGTCAATAAGTGCATATGTCTGAACCACACTCCCGGGACAGGCCCAAGATTCCCAGAAGGAGGGGGCTGGGAGATAGGAATAGCTTTCACTTGAATATAACAGAATGCTCCATGGGCATATAAATGAGGTGAAAAAAAAAACAGCACAGCCCAGAGCAAAGGGGAAGAAAACAGATAACCTTCTGTGGGATTGGATACGTCACCCAGGCCTGGGTAGCCTGCCATTGAATCTCACTGGTTTATTGAGGGTTCTGTCCAGCTGCCAGGACCAGGAAGACACTTCAGAGGAGCTTGAATAAAGAAGGGTTTGTCATCTGCACACAGGGGGCTCTTAATGAGAGCCAGATGCAGGAAGTACAGAGGAAGCTAGCAGTAGCCTGGCCCTTGCTCTCTTCTCTCTGGCCCAGCTGGGTATCCTATTTGTCTCGAAGTCAGCTCTGACATCCTTTAGGGTCTGTCTTCTGCAGAAAAGACCTTTGGTCATAACCCCAGGCACCCCAGGCTGCCTGAGTGACCTTTGGGACTCAGGGGCCCAGTGCCATCTGGCTGACCCTCTGGTTGGGTCTTTGGGGCGAATACTTAATTCCCTCCACCCAGGTAGGGGCCTGACCGTGGTGATTCAGCTGAGAATAGGGTCTGGAGTCTGTGTAAAAGTGGCTGCCTGCCTGTTGGCCTTTACTTTTCACCTGAAAACCAGCCTCTGCCTGTGCCCTTATGTCCTCAGCCCAGGCTGACCTCAGTCTTGCAAACAGAGGGCTAGACAGAAGTGGCCAAGGGCAGAGTACATTGCATGCAGGATGTTTTCTTCCACATTAGACACTGTTTAAAATCACTCTGGCCATGACCCCAGGGCCCCTTATCTACCGCATCCCTGTTCAACCAGCCTCTGATCGCCCACCTGGTTTTTCTCCCCAGGTGAGCCTGGCCACCCTTGACACAGAAGTCCCCCTGACCTTGGCCTTGAACCTCTCACATCTGGGCCAGTCGGAGCATATCCTGGAGCTGCGTCCAGCTCTGGAGGGCCTGGGAGGCTGGGTGCACTACGTCATTGCTCACGGCAACAAGCGAGGTTTCTTCCGCATGCATCACCTGGGCAGCCTCAGCTCCCTGCAGCTGGGACGACGGAGGCCCAGGCCTGGAATGTACCAGCTGGAGGTGGTGAGCGTGGCAGGGCCCCGGGGTGTCTGGCCAGGTTCGGTGGGCCGGGCCTTGCGGCTGAAAGTGCAATTGCAGCTGCTCTAGTTGAGAAGAGCCTCCATGGGCCCCAAGCTCCTGGGCCACCCAAAGGTGGAGATTCTGGAACTGGGAAGGACTGGTCCCCAGCAGCAGCAGCTGACCAGGTCAAATCCTGAAACTCAGGAAGAGAGGAATGCTACACTTTGACCTCAGATGGGTCCAGGCACAGGCTGGACCTCTGTGCCAGCCAGGGGACCCCAGGACTCAGTCTTTCCTGGAGACAGCTGGACGCTGTTGTGTGTACCTCCCCCCCCCCACAGCCAGGGTCAGTGGGGGCCCAGTGGTCACTGTTTCTGGTCAATCTCAGGCTTAAACTTCTGTATTGCACTGTGGCCTCCCCGCCGGGGGGTTGGTGGGATATGGGAATGAGTTGCTGGAGTGGGCATGGGCTCATCCTTCAGAGCAAAGAGAGGAGCCCTGACTGCTCAGAGTTAGTGACTGGCTGCCATGTTTATTCCCCCGGGGCCTGGGCTGGGTGTGAAGGATGCTTTTATATCAAAAGTGGAAACAACAATAAAGTTATTTTGGGTTAAATCTGCCTGCCTCTTTGGTAAGTTCTCACATAAGGAGATGCTGTCCTCTGCAGAGCCACATAAAGCTCCTACCTGGGAGAGCCAGAGGGGACCTCTGCAGCCCCAGAGAGGCCCAGGTTTGGGAAAGGATGGGCTTTGTCCCAGGACCCAGGAGAAAATGTAGTGAGAGTCTTGCAGGAAGGGTTCCCCCAACCTCAGGCCTGTGCATTTGGCACAAACCCAGAGCCAGGCTGTGAGTGGCAGCTGCTGGCAGCCCTTACAGGTTCCTCAGTCGTGAAGATGATGGCTCACAGTCTGTACTGCACGCCCACACTGTTCTAAGTACTTTACAAATATGAACGACTTTGTCGTCACTAGAACCCCGCGGAATGGTAGTATGATCGGCCTCGTTTTACAGAGGGGAAAGCTGAGGCTCAGAAGTTACGCAACTGTGGCCCAGGTCAGGCCAGACTGAAAGTCAGGGAGCTGTGCCAGCCCCTGCACTGTCCACCACCATGCTGCCAGACCTGTTGCCAGACCCTGGAACTTGGCCTCAGTGAGAGAAAAGAAATCAAGTAGTGAGAATGCAAATAGGCAACCTTTACAGGGTAAGCTTGCTGGCTCCCTGGGACGAAAGAAAGGACTTACTGGCGGCTCGCAGGGGTGGGCTGGGGCTTAGGAATGTTAATTGGCTTCAGGTGCACTTCGACCTGTGTGGGCGCTTGAACCCCAGATCCTTGCCCTGTGATAAGGACGTTAAACGAAAGGGCAAGTGGCAGGTTGATGGCCCTGAGAGTCCGCCATTCAGTGTCTCAGCAGCTTCACCCTCAGCATTGAAGGGTGGTGGTGAGCGCACCCAGCTCTAATAACACACCTGGTCTTTAAAGCCAGCAGGACTGTTTTAGGGTGGGCTGACGGGGCAGGTTTGGTGTTTGACAAACTGTGAGTTAAGGTGAGATCTTTAAATGGCTGTCAGGCTGTGAACCAAGCCCAGGAGTGCATGTGCCTTTTTCCCTGTGGTGGTCCCTGACTCCTGACTCTGGGTTGGACTTGGCTCCGTGGAAATCTGAGGGGGAGCTCAATGGCCAGGATGGTCACCTCCTTACTGAATGGTTGGTGCATGCCAAGCGCTGCGCCCGCGGGGACAGTCATGTATTTGACCCCCATCAAACCCCTCCTGAGGCAGGCAGTATTATCAGCCTTGTTCTATGGGGGCATAGGGCAGGAGGGACTGAGGCTTAGAGAAGGCCTTCCTGGGTCACCCATACAGTGTGGGCTGAGGCCCCAAACCACCAGCATGTCATCTACAGAGGATATATATTTGGCTTGCATCTGGGACATTCTCAGTTGTGATGGAAACTGAGGCTATTAAGGATTGGAAATAGTACAGCCAGGTGTCTCAAACCTCCGCCTGTAGAGCTGTATCAAGTGCTTGGTCCCAGGGCACTATCCTTGCCCAGGTCCTGACCCACTGTCCCCTGGGCAGCCTACTATAGCCTGTAGAGGTCTTTTCTGACCTTCCACACACCCCAGTCCCAGAGTCTAGGCAGAGCAACCACAATGATCCCTACTTCACAGGCAAACAAAGAGACATCAAGAGAGTCAGCAGCTGGCCCAAGGTCACCATTTGGGAAGTGCAGGTCACATCCCACCTGTCCAGTGCTCAGCCCCTCAGGACCCACTTGTCATGAAGGCTGGGGCCACAGATCTTAAAATAAAACGTGACAGGGGAAACAATGACATTTTTTTTTACCAAAAGTTTATTTAAAAGCTTAGACTGGGAGGATGTTTTTTGTACCAACCAAAACTTTGCAAGGACCTGGAGGGACACAGTAGGTGGCCTGGGGTGAATGGCAAGAAGCTGCAGGTGGGTGACATAGTCCAAAAGAATCTTGTCTGCAAGAACCTTTGCCCAAGGTTGGTACTTATCCCAGAGCAGAAAGGAGCTATCTCTCTTCCCAGCTGTCCAAGGGGCAGGAGATGGTAGGAATAAAAAGGAGCAAACCAATCCGGGCACAGGGGCTAGGATTGGGACTGAAGGACAGGGACAGAGGCAGCTGGGGCTGCAGGGTGACCACTGGTGGAGCAAGATCCCTCCGGCCTCTGTCCTGCTGTTGGATCCTGGAGATGCGCAGGCTCACGGCCCTGCAGGAGGGATTAGAGGTGGAACTGCAGTGGGCTTGGGGGCTGTAAAATAATAAGAAATACACTTACCAGTCTCTGCCTGGCACCTAGTTCCTCAGAGCCTTGTAATGTGAGCAATAAGGACGTTAGGAGCATCCTTTGTTCTAACATTTGGTCTTTGACCCCGATTCCTGACACACAGCTAATAAATCCCTTGGAATTTCCTGGGCAATTGGACCCTCTTTTGTTCTGATGAGGGGACTCTTGGATGGGGGCTGGTCACAAGAAAGACCAAGCGTGTTTAGACGGCGGGGGGGGGCCTTCTGCTCCTCGTCTCCCTCTCCAGAGAGGGGGAGAAGGGTTGGCAGGGAAGTTAATAATCCCTCATTCCTGTGTGATAAAGCCTCCATAAAATCCCCTGAACTCTGGGGCTCAGGGAGTTTCCGGGTTGGTGAACACATCGTGTGCTAGGAGAGTGGTGCATCCCAACTCCAAGAGGACGAGAACTCCTGTGCTTATGACTGTCCTTCATCTGGCTGTACCCCAGATCCTTTGTAACGTCCCTTACAATAAACTGCTGAATATGTTTCCCTGAGTCCTGGGAGTGGATCTAGTGAATGATTGAACCCAAGGAGACAGACACGGGATCCCCAATTTATAGCTGATTGGTCAAAGTGGAGGTGGCAACCTACTGACCATGTACTACATACCAGACGCTGCAAATTACAATTGTCTCTGCAACTCAGTGGAATGCAGTGTCATCGATCCCCATTTTATGGTTGGCAAAACTGAGGCTCAGAGAAGTTACATCTTAATGGGGACAGTCTTGTGGGACAGAGATCCTTCCCCTGTGGCAACTGTCACAATCTCCAGTGGCTTGGATTGTGCTGCCCCTTCACATCTGTCATCAGAGTGTGGTGTAGAGTGTTGTTTTCTCATCTTATGGGGGCCCAGGAGCTCTTGGTCCACCTCCCTGGCCTTTCAATTCCGCTCTTATCAATGCCCCACCTGGCTAGGCTGGGGCTGTGGGTAGCCACTGAGGACCTTCCTGTGTGGATCTGCAGGGCTGACCACATAGCCAGCCCTCCTTGGTCCTGTAGGCAAACGTCCTGCCCGAGTCTGGACCCATCATAAGCCTTCAACCCTCAGTAACGGATGGAGGAAGGCCATGTGACTGTCCTCACCTGGATCAGTTTAGGGAAGCATTTCTTTTGTTGCTGCTGCTGCTGCTGCTGCTATTGTTGCTGCTGAGATACTTCGGCCTGGACGATGGTCGCCGGGATTTTGAAGTATTCAGTTTCTTCCTCCCAGCCTGAGAGTCTATCCACAGCGAGAGAGAGAGAGAGAGAGAGAGAGAGAGAGAGAGAGAGAGAGAAGCTTCATCAACAGCCTCTGAACCTCTGGATGTAGCCAAGCCTGAAGCTACTGCTGGTTATTTGAGCCCATGACTTTCCCCTTTGCTTGAACTTTCCGTGTGCATCAATTTAGCACTCTGACTTTAAAAGAGCTAGATGATGACCTGGGGGGTTGGTCACTCAGTCCATCCCTCCCTCATCAGGAATGAGCTCTCTCTGGAGCAGGGGCAGCTGCCAGAATGTGGAGCTCTGATTCTCTCCCTCAGAGACTGAGAAGCAAAGGGGCCTGCAGACAGGGAGGGTGGGCTCCCTAGATGCTGGGCTGGGGCCTCACCCACCTTGGATGGTTAGCCGGTTGTCAGACCTCTGGGAGACCTTGAGCCTAGGATTTACCCATCTCATTGCCTTCTGTACCCTGATGTCCCGTGGGTTCCCGCACACCGTTTTACCTGGTTGGTGGAAGTAGAATCTGCAATGGGTGGGGAAGGGGTGCCCACGTTAGGGTGGAAGGAGCAGCAAAGCTGTGTGTGTTCCCCACTCCCATCGCACGGCCCCACTCACATGATGGCAAACAGGTTGCAGCTGCCGCTCACCTCCTGGATCCGGAAAAACCTGGCGCGACGGAGCACAGCCAACTTGGGTTTGGGGTAGTAACCCAGACAGCAGTCTTCAAAGGACCCTGCAATCACACCGCCACCCACACGCTCAAACCTGCACATGGGCACTGGCAGGGACAGTCACAGACGTGGAAAAGCACACCATGACCCTTGCAGCCCCGACCGAGGCATGCGCACTGCCTGACTGCCTCTCAGCCTTTGCTACTGGGACAGCTGGCAGGGATTGGTGGGGTCCATGGGCCCTGCTTGGAAAGGAGCGGACCACCCAAGAAACAGCCCAGAGCCCCTTCTCTGCTCTGGGAGCACGGGCGCAGACCCTGAGGAGGGAAGACAGGCTCAGGGCGGTGGCATCTTAATGGAGGGCAGTCTTGTGGGACAGAGAGCCTTCCCCTATGGCATCTGACACAATCTTGAGTTGTTTGGTTTGTGCTGTCCCTTCACATTTGGCATCAGAAGTGTAGTGTCCCCAGTGCCACTCTCCTAAAAATGAGGTTGGTTAGCTCCTGCTGAGGTCCTGGATCCTCTCCGGGCTGGTCTGTCTTCTCATGGAACTAGCTCTGATCCCTCTTCCTCTCTGTTCCCATCAGTGACCACTCAAGTGACCCAGCCAGACACTAGGAGTTCTAGAGGGTTTACTTGTGGATCTAATAAAAACACTTAAAAGAGTTCCCACTATGTGCCAAATACCCAAACGGAGAAGAGCTGGAATTAATGTTGTCTTGGAGAGCTCCTGGAGTGGTGGGAGACAGGAAGTTGACCTTTGTGGGGTGGGGGGACAACACAGCACGGGGGATGCCTGAAGAGGAGGTAACGATGCTTGAAAGATCTGGGCAGAGGAGCAGATGGAATGAATGAGAAGAGGGGGCGATGGGATGGTGGTGGAAGCCAAGGTGGGCTCTTTCGCCCAGTCTGTCTTGGAGGTCCTGCAATCCACCTCTGCCAGAGCCCACCTGAGTCGGGGTCCTGGCAGAGCAGAGCACAGCAGTGGTGGAGCAGGGGGAGGGCTCAGTTCTCATTGTATCCCCCACCCTGTCCCTGAGGACAAGGAGCAGTGGTGTTAGATAGGACCTGCGGCTCCAGTGATCCTCGGCAGGTGGCTCCCAATGCTGGGGGCCACTGCCCCCTCCCCCAGGATCAAAGAGCAGGCGCTGGGCCTGGCTCTGATAGCAGGACAATGGGAACAAAGACCAGCCCTCCTCCTGGGCAAAGGCTAAGCTCTGCCGGGTCCTGCCAGACCTAGAATGGGGACAGGCAGAGCAGGAGGGTGGGGCCACGCTCCTCAACCCTGTTGGCCCCTGCTTGGCCATCTGGGAGGACTCACTGGCCTTGCCACAGGAATGTAGGACCCCGTCTCAGGGATCCTGGGGGAGTCTGCACGCCTCCATCTGGCCTTTGGTGACCAAAATCCTCAAGTGCCTACTCTGGGGTGGAGATGGGGAGGAAGACAGAAGGGCTCCCTCACTGGGGCTGCTGGGCACAGGCAGCAGGTCAGGTCACTGGATCCTCTCACCGGCTCCAGGCGAGGGGAACTTCAGGTTCCCACCTCACAGACGAGAAAACTAAAGCTCACAAAGGCTGAGTGGCAATTCTCGGCTGCACTGCACAGGTAAGCTCCCCAAGGTCTCCAGGGCTCTGGTCTCCAGCCCCATCCCTGGCTCTGCAGACTCAGGACATTGAGGTATATTCCTGGCTGCAAGTGGCTTTACCCACAGCTGGAAGCCACCCTCTGTTCCCACATTCCCTAGGCCACTGGAGTCCTGCAAAGGAGGTACACAGGGGTGGAGGACTCTGGAGGAAGGAGCTGGGGACCCTCTGTCTCCCTTCATCCCAGGGCACAAACACCAGGAATCTCTGCTATGTTGGGAACAGGAGCCATAGGAGAATTCAGTGGTGGTAAGGGATCTGGAAGAGGAGAGGGGTAAACGGGCGGACAGGGGACAGTGAGTCTAGATAGGGAAAGGGGGGACCAGGGGCATAGGGTAAATACAGCTGACTGAATACAGTACCTTGGGTGTGGATGGGAGGGACCCAGGCCCCCAAAAAGCAGGCTGCCAGGCTGGCAAGGATCCAAGGGTTCATGGTGCAGGCAGGACCTCCTCTCTGGGCACTTCAAGGATAGACAGAGTGGCCTGGGGAGGTGGAGAGGGATGATAAGGACCCAGGGAAGACAGCAGCAGGCACTGCTGGGGCCCAGGGCCTTCTGCAAGAGAAGCAGGTGACTCAGGATAGGGACAAGCTGAGCAGAAGGGACCTGCTGCGGCTCTCAGTCATGGCCAGACGGACGACTCACCAATGCCTCCGGGGTCCCCAGAACCAGGGCCTGCTGCGGTGGGTGTGCTGTGTGTGGGGTTAGGCAGCTGAGCTTCTCTCTTATAGGTCGAGCCCCACCCCACAACCTCTGGCCCTCCCTCCCTCCTCCCTCCCTCCCTCAGCCCACAGGCTCTGTGAGACTCCAGGGTTCTCCCTCACTGTAGATAGACCAAGCCTAACTTCCACCTGGATCCTCTCAAAGTCTGGCTGCCCTAGGAACCTCCTCCATCCCAGGCCTCTGGGCCAGCAAACTTGCACTGTCCCCAAAGGGTCCTTTGTCTTCTCCTGTCCCCTCACCTGCACACCCGGGCAGACACATTTTCCTGCACACAAGCCTCAGCTGATAGAGCCTCCAAAGAAAGCCTTTCCCTGGCTGCCTACTCCCAGGTATAGGAGGGACCTGAACTTCACCCGTCTCCCCCTCCTGCACAGTGGGGCAATTTATATGTCACAGATATGCTGTGGGTTTGCCATAGGCAAATCCATAGAAACAGAAAGTAGATTAGTAGTGGCCATGGGCTGGGGTGGGGGGGGGGGCGGGGGGGGCGTTGGCTGCTCAAGGTGCATCTTTTTGTTCTGAAATCAGATAATGGCAATGATTGACTAAGTCTAATGAACACCACAGAAAGGTACACTTTCAACGGAGAAGTGAATGACCTGTGAATTTTCCTCCAATGTTATTTTAAGAATAATCTCGATAAACTGGAAATGTGGTGCACGTCTGTATTTCCAGCGACGTGGGAGAATGAAGCAGGGGGCTAGCCTTGAACTGGCCCGAGCCTCTCTCCAAATAAAAACTGAGAAGGGCTGAGGAGAGAGTTCAGCGGGAGAGCGCCCCTGGGTTCAATCCCCTTACCAAGCGGGGATGGCGCGGGTGGGGTGGGGTAGAAGTAAACAAAGACCACGGAGATGAAGAAGAGCCCAATAAACTTATCAGTAACCACAACCACGAAGAAACACTCTGGTTTGAAAGCAAAGCCAGGAGCCGCAGGTAACCATGACAACGGGAAGCAAAGCAACATTCACCTGCAACCGAGGCGAGGGGCCGGGGAAGGCGCGGAGCGGGCGGTGCGGACACTTCACATAGCAGTGCTTTTCTTTTTCTTTTCTTTTCTTTCTTTCTTTTATTTTCTTATTTTTTTATGGCCCGCAAGTTTATCCCTCCTCTCTTTTTTTTTGTGGTGCTTGAGGATGGAACCCACTGCCTTGCGCACGCTAGCCAAGCGCTCTACCACCGAGCTGTTCACCCAGCCTCCGTTTCTCGGGCTCTGCAGGGGGGTGGGGGTGTGGGGGGGTCCCTAGTGGTGGCCCTGGGCTCGCCGCCCTGCAGCTGGGTGGGGGGAGGGTCCGAGGCTTTGAGGACGGTGCCAGTGGGGATTGAAATGGGTGGGGCTTGATGAATGGCATTTAGGGGTGCCGGGAGAGACTTTTAGTTGGGGGCTTAGAGTCTGGCGGGTGGGGCTTGGCCGTGGGGCGGGGCTGACGGGTTCGGTTCTTCCCCTTCAGCTCCCTGCAGCCCCGCCGTCCGTCGCTGCCGCAGGTGTACCTCCTGCGCCCTCCTGCTGCTCGGGTTCCTTTCTTTGGGTGGGTGATGCTAGGCGGGGACGCGGCTCCGCGTGGCTGCGGGCTTGGGACGCGGCGTGGCGGGCCAGGGCTGGCCTACCCGCTATGGCTCACTGCCCTCCTACCTGCGCCTTTGGCGGGCAGGGATCTGGCGTGACCCAGACTCGGCGGGAGGTCCCTGGAATGTGAGCCCACCTTCCCAACCTACCCTCAGGGTTGGTCCCGCCAGCAGCCTTCATGGGGAGGAGGGGGACGGAGGGAGGGGGTCCCCTGAGGGACCAGGATGCAGGTTACACAGGGTTGTGCACGCGCCCGAACCCAAGGGTCATGGTGGGAGACAAGCTGTTCGAGAAGACGAGGCTCTGAACTAAAGCTTTGGAGTTCTGACAAGTTCTGATAAATGTGAAGGCCAGATCTTCGCAGTCAGGGCTGAACGGTGTGGCAGGCCGCCCCTCTCCCATCTCTACCTTTTCTGGAAGCCGAACTAGTATCAACAGAGAGCCTTCTCTGAAAGTGTGAAATGAAAACAGATGGGGTTGGAGTGGAGCACAATCTCCGCCCTTCTGGCTTCTGGTCATCGGCTGTCATGATGGGGGAAAGTGGAAAGTCTCCAACTGCAGCTCAACCAGTCAGGTACTGACCACATCCTAGAGCCTGGTAGGGTTCTTCTACAAGCTGAGCCAATGGCAACCGCCAGGTGGAGGGGAGGGGCTGGGCTCAACTCTGGAAATATTCTTTGCCCAGAGAAGGGCACCTCCAGTGTGTGCACACAGATGGAAGAGTCAGATGTACAGAGGAGAAGACTGAGGGTCAGGGAGGCCATGTCATTTACTGTTTTTTTTTTTTTTTTAAATACCATGAAGGAAAGTGTGACAGTCCCCTAATGCTGGAGGGCTCAGAGCAGGAGCTTGATCATCATTGGCAAAGATGGAGGGGCACTAGGTGAATGCTCCAGGCTGAAGTGAGTCCTTGCTTTTACATATCAGACCCTGGCTGCCCACAGCTATCCTGAAGCTCTGGTGCCTCCAAATCCCTGGGTGTCCTCTGGGAGTCTTGGCTCTAGTGGTCTCTGAGAGAAGCAGCTGGAGGCCCTCTCCCACACTATCTGTGCATCTCATAGGGCTTATGATACCAGGTGCCTTCCTGGCAGGTGTGGCCAAAGCAGTCTCTTTAAAAAAAAAAAAAAAAAAGAATTTGTTCATTTGAGAAATTTTTGGTACCAGGGACTGAACTCAGGGGCACTTGACCACTAAGACACATCCCCAGCCTATTTTGTATTTTATTTAGAGACAGGGTCTTGCTTTTGCTGAGGCTGGCTTTGAACTCATGATACTCCTGCCTCAGTCTCCTGAGCCACTGGGATTACAGGCGTGCACCTCCATGCCTGGTGGTTTTTTGTTTGTTTGTTTGTTTCTTTTTGATGCTGGAGATTGAATTCAGGAGCATTCAACCACTGAGTCACATCCCAGCTAAGTTGCTTAGGCCTTGAAAAATTGCTGAGGCTGGCTTTGAATCCTTGATCCTCCTGCTTCAGCCTCTGGAGCCATCGGGATTACAGGCCTGTGCCACCACGCTCAGCTTGATTTTAAATTTCCCTTTTAATCTCCTCATTGATCTATTGATTATTCAAAAATGTGTTGTTCACTTATTATTGAAATTCCTCCTAATATTGCTTTCTAATTCCATACTATGGTGGATGGAAAAGATACTTAATCTGATTTCAATCTTAAATTTGTTGAGACTTGTTTTTTGCCTAACATATGATCTACCCTGGGGAATGTTCAATGTGCACTTGAGAAGAAGGGGTATTTTGCACTATTGGATGGAATGTTCTCTACATGTTTATGAGGCCCACTTGGTCTAGAGTGTGGCTCCAGTCTAATGTCTCAGTATTGAGACATTCTGTCTGGATGATATGTTCATTGCTGAAAGTGGGACACTGAAGTCCCCTGCTTTTATTATATTGGAGTCTATCTCTCCCTTCAGTTCTATTAATATTTGCTTTATATATTTAGACGTTCTGATGTTGAGTGCAGCTATATTTACCACTGTTAAATCCTTTTGATGAATTGACCCCTTTATCATTATGTAATAATCTTTGTCTCACTTTGCAGGGTTTGGCTTAAAATCTATTTTATCTGATATGAGTATAGCCACCCCTGCTCTCTTTTGGCTTCCATTTGCAAGGAATATCTTTTTCCATCCCTTCACTTTCAGTCTATGTATGTCCTGAAACCAGCTGACTCTTGCTCTGGTCTGGATGCACTGTGGTTGCCTGGCAACTAGAGGAGGGGAAGAAAATAGGTTTACTAGGATGCTCTATAAGCCCCTGGCCTGATGCTCAGGGACCTGGTTTATGGACAGTCTGTGTGACCCCTTTAGCTATGTCCTCAATGCAGTCAGCCCTGCTGCCTCCTGAAGTCTGGCTTCAAGGGACTTCCTGCCCTAGGCTGAGGTGGCCTGTTTCAGGAACAGCTGCAGCAATGGCCTTGGGCACAGGCCACGACCAACCAGAGGGATTCAGACTACCAGCACCAGTCCTGGCCATAGACCAAGTCCTCGTATCTTTCCTGCTTCTACCCTGTGTATGGATGAACATCAGGGAAGGGTGACTGCCTGACGCGCTGACATTGAGGCTGGGGCTGGGATGGCATGGGGAGGGAGTGGAGGATGGTGGGCCCTGAGGAGAGGGTTCCATGGAGCCCTGAGTCCCTCTTTGAAGCTGCTGAGGTCTGCTTCCCTTATGAGACAGGTTTTCTGCGCATCTCTCAGGCAGGCAAGTGGGTGTGTCACAGCCATCACAGATGAGGGTGATGTCATTAACTCCTCATTAATCACCTGTTGGAGGTCATTTGATATTTCACTCATTCAACAAACACTCAGCACCTACTGTGTGCCAGGCATGGGGCTGGGGGCTTAGCCAACCTTAAGTTGCCAGGGCCAATCTAGTCTTCCAAATGATTTTTTTTTTTTTTTAAGATAGTGTCTTGCTGTGCTGCCCAGGCTGGTGTTATGGTTTGGATCTTACTGTCCTCCCAAAGGCCATGTGCTAAAGGTTGGTCCCCAGTTGATGGCACTGTTGGGAGATGGAGGAAACATTAGGAGGTGGGACCTAGTTGAAGAGAGGTCACTGGAGGTATATTGTGTCCCCTGCCTCTTCCTCGCTGTCTCTCTGCTTCCTGGTTGCCACTAGGACATCTTCTCTCCTTCATGCCCTTCCACCATGAGGTTTTGCCTCCCTCAGGCCAAAAGCAATGGAGCCAGCAGAGCATTGGCTGAAAGCTCTGAAACCATGAGCCAAAAGGAGTCTTTGCTCCGTTAAGTAGTCTTTTCAGGTATTTGTCACAGCAATGAAAAGCTAACGCAGCCGGCCTTGAACTCCTGGGCTCAAGCCGTCCGTCCTCAGACCTCAGCCTCTGGAGTGTGACTACAGGCAAGTGCCACTGCACCCAGCTTACTAATGATCATTAAATGTAAAACAAAAATATCTTTATTTTTTTAAAAAAACTATTTTTATTTTTGTGATGCTGCTGGTGAAACCTGGAGTTAGGTAAGTGCTCTACCACTGAGCTGCATTCCCGACTCTGATCCACCTGCCTTAGTCAGCTCAGGGCCAGGTACCAGACAATTCCCTTCTGTGTGCCCAGATCCTATGAAATGACTTAAACAAGGCCAGCCTAAGCTCCTTAACCTGCCTCACCTGCTCCTTTCTGTGGAGGAGACTTGTGCTATGGGTTTCCTTTGTACCCTCTGCCTCCTGATGGGCCCTTGGTGCTTCCCCACGTGGCCCTGTGTGGCATGGTGTGCCCCTCCTCTTGGGAACTGAGAATAACAAAGTTATCTTTTCAGTGTCAATCATCTCCTAATCTGTTGGGCTCCCCATACTTGCATAATTGTAAAATCTACATTTAAAAATAGGTGGCAAGTAATATGCAGGGAGCTGGGCATGAGGGGAATAACAGACACTCCATTTTCCAGAGGATGTTCACAGGATGCAGCAAGGCTTGGAGGTCAGCCTCCTGGAGAAGGTAGCCGCAGGGTGCAGGATGCCTAGGGCACCCACCGGGCCTCCATAGGGAACAATAGCTGAATGGAGACCTGAAAGATGAGCAGGTGTTTGAGGCCAGCAGAACAGGATGCTAGAAGGAGCTGCCAATTCCACAACAGCCAGGGTGGGAGAGTGGGGCAGGGGTGGACAGCGGAAGATGAGGTGGGAGGGACAAGCTATTCAGGGCCTCACATGCTAAGCCAAGGAAGGTGACCTTCATCACGGGGACAGGGGAGCTGCTGAAATTCATTTAGCCAGGGGAAGGTTGTGGTCAAATGTCTGAGCACTGCCAAGGTCCTGCGGAAGATGCACTGGAGAGGGAAGCACTGGGCAGGAGACTCAAAAGTGCAGGCAAAAGCGGCAGACTGCACCCATGGGAGTCCTGCTTACGGGTCATCTCAAATCTGGGGACCTTGGCAGTATAGTGCATACCAGCCATGCATGAGAAGGGGTCCAGGAGGCCATTGGTGCCCACAGGTTTAAGGAGAGCAACAGGCTTCTGCCCATCTACCTTCTCATGTCTCCTGCCCCAATTCCCTGGCTTCCGGTCATCCTCAGCACACGCCAGTTAAGGGACTGGGGAGGGGGACTGGCTCATCACCCCTGTGGTTCCTGCTGCTCCCCCAGGGCTCCTGCCCAGCCTTTGCCAAGCAGGGCCCTCAGCCTGAGACCCCTCCCCACTCACTCAGTAGCATCTTTAGGCAGCCAGCTTGGCCTGGATTATATTTTAGGCTTCTGAGCCCTGCTACCCTGACAGCCTGGGCCCCACGTTGAGCTTACCTGGCTTCATTCCTTGAAATGGTATTATGTATCCACATCCACCTCCATTTTGTGGCCATCGGGTCTCATGGAACAGATGCACCCCCCGTGGACAGAGTCTGAGCAAACCCTCTACAATGGGCCACCTCTCCTTCCTGCCAGCCCCAGGGGAGCTCCCGCAGGCCCAGCCCTCCCAACCTGCCACCTCCCCACACCACTCACTGTCTAATTGTGTGCCCTCCCTGCTCAGGGTTAACTATGCACAGCTTTCCTCCTGAGCCTCACACTGACAAGGAATATGCTTGTCCCATCCTTCAGAGAGGACTTCATGATTGCAACAGGACAGCTGAGGCAGGCTTATGTTGTTTGTCACAGGACAAACATTTACTTTCCCTTGTGGGTCCAGGAAATGACTGCAGCCCTGCTGGGCCTTGCTCTGGTCTGTGAATTGGATTCATGACTGTTGCATGTGTCTTTTCATTTGGAAGTTTCCCAGGTGTTTGTTTCGTGGCAATGGGAATGTTCGAGGAGCACCAGAAGCCTTGCAAATGGAGCTGGTGGGGGTCACTTCCATTCAGGTTGTATTGGCCAAAGCCAATCATGTAGCCACACCCTAAGTCAAGGGAATGGATGGGAAGACCTGTTATTTTAGTCTGTTTGTGTGGTTGTAACACAACACCTGAGGCAGGGTAATTTATAAATCATAGAAATTTATTGCACTTGGTTCTGAAGCTAAGGGCTTATCTTCTGCTTCCAAGATAGTGCCATGCTGCATTTTCTCATGGCAGAAGGATAAAAGGACCTACCTCATTCACTCTGGCTCTTTGATAGGCAGTAATCCCATTCATGAGGGGTAACAGAGGCAAAACTAGAGTCACCCCTTGGAACTGAAGAGACTGGTTCCAAGACACATAAAGATACCCAGATCCTTGGATGCCCAAGTCCTTTATATAAAATGGCAGAGCAGTTACATAAAAAATGTACACATCCTCCAGCATACTTAAACCATCTACAGATGGCTTGGAATGCACACTATGTAAACTCTATCTAAATAATTGTTATACTCCAGTGTTTAGGAAATAATGACAAGAATAAAAGTCTGCACATGTTCAGAATAGACACAACTTTTAAAGAATATTTTGGTCTACAACTGGTTGAATCTCTAGATCAGAACCCATGGAGGGCAGACTCTCCATTCGTGAATGGTATGACCTCCTATGTAGAAAATCCTAAAGAATCTACACACACACACACACACACACAGAGAGAGAGAGAGAGAGAGAGGACTATTAAAGCTACAAAATGAAGTTAGGAAATTTGCAGGATACAAGATTAACCTACAAAAATCTGTTGTCTTTCCATACAATAGCATTGAGTAATTAAAGGGAAATTTAAAAATCAATTTCAGAATAGAATCAAAAAGAATAAGTACTTAGGAATAAATTTAACTAAGAAGTTGCAGGATTAATACACCAAACACTAAAGAGCATTGTGAAAACTGGGCATGGTGGCACATACCTGTAATCCCAGTGGCTTGGGAGGCTGAGATAGGAGGATTGTGTGCAAGTTCAAAGCCAACCTCAGCAACAGAGAGGTGCTAAGCAATCAGTGAAACACTGTCTCTTAAGAAAATACAAAATAGGGGCTGGGGATGTGGCTCAAGCAGTAGCGTGCTCGCCTAGCATGCGTGCGGCCCGGGTTCCATCCTCAGCACCACATACAAACAAAGATGTTGTGTCTGCTGAAAAACTAAAAAATAAATATTAAAAATTCTCTCTTAAAAAAAAAAAAAGAAAATATAAAATAGGGCTGGGTATGTGGCTGAGGGGTTGAGTGCCCCTGAATTCAATCTCTGATACAAAAAAAAAAAAAAATTTAAATAAACCTAATCAATGGAAAAACATCCTATGTTCACGGATTGGAAGACCTACCAGGATTAACTTAGCAATACTCCCTAAATTGGTCTACAGATTCAAAGCAAGCTGTATCAGAATACTAATGTTTTTTTTTTTTTTTTCAGAAATGTAAAAGCAGATCCTAACATTCTTACAGAATTGCAGGGGACCTCCAATAGCCGATCAAACAGAAGCCCAAGGCCACCAATACTGGAAGCAGGTCCAATCTTTTCCTCCCATAGGGCTGAGGCCATCCAGCCATGGGAACTCTGTCAGAACCTGCAGCTCCCTCTGGTTGTCACCATAGGACATGTAACCTCCCTCAGGGCAGTCCCAGCCAAGCACCCCGCCCTCCACCCCCCCACCCTCTGCATTTTGAGGCCTCCACCTTGTCACAGCATTTCCACAGGGTTGGGGAGGTCAAGTCTGGGGGGCGGTGTGCAACTCTTAAATTCTGTGCAGAACCCCTCCCCACAAACAACATACATTAGAATGGAGCCACATGGTTCTACCAGGAAATGGGATTCTTGGAGCACCCATACCCCATCATCCTCTACTCCAGGCTTCTGAATATGTTTTTAAAATATTTTATTAGCTGTTGATGGAACTTTATTTATTTATATGTGGTGCTGAGAATTGAGCCTAGTGTCTCACACATTCTAGGCAAGTGCTCTACCACTGAGCTACTACCCCAGCCCCAGTTATTTTAACAATGCAAAGCTAACACAGAGACTTTGTAGGTAACTTATTTTTTTCTAATTGGTGAGAAAAAGGCAAATTTGTTATTTTACAGTGCCAGAGGTCCAATCCCCAAAGTCAGGTGTCAGCAGGACTGGTTCTTTCGGAGGGCTTCAGGGAGAACCTCTCTCTCCTATCTTTTCCAGCTTCTAGAGGCGCCTGCATCCCTCAGCTCGTGGCCCCTTCCTCGGTCTTCAGAGCCAGCAGTGCTGTGTCTTCCAGTTGCTGACCTGTGCTTCCACCTCCATGTCTCCCTCTTTAGCTCTGACCCTCCTGTCTTCCTCTTATGAAGACCCTTGTGATGACACTGGGCCATGGATAATCCAGAATGACCCCCCATCTCAAACTCCCCCCCCCGCCCCTCTTTGCGTTGCTGGGGATTGAACCCAGGGCCTTGTGCACGTGAGACAGGCACTCTACCAACTGAGTCATATCCTCAGCCCCACAAGCTCCCTTTTGTAAGTAAGGGAACACAATCCCAGGTTCTGGGGATGAGGATGTGGACATCTGGGGAAGAGGCATTATTTTGCCTTCTATAATACCATGGTGATCAAACTTATAAGAAGGTCCACAGAACATTCTTGGGAGTGGTGATGTGGGTTCAGTTCTGGAAGATGGCAGGTAGGGCTTGGGGACAGGACTCCAGGCAGAGGGGACAGCGCACATAAAACAGGAGGCTTGGGGCTAGGAGTATAGTTTAGCTGTAGAGCTCATGCTTAGCATGCAAAAGGTTCTGGATTTGGTCCCCTGCATCAAAGAACATCCAAGTGAATAGCAGGCTCCCTACATACCTGAATGTGGCACAAGGCCCTCAACATCCACAAAGGTTCTGTTCTGCACAGTGATGATTCTCACCAGGGCTCCCAAGAGGTACCTGGTGATGCCCAGAGAAATATTTGGCTGTTGCAACGGGGGGAGAATGGTCCAGAGATGCTACCGAATGTCTTTATCATGCACCAGACAGTCCCTTGCGGCAAGGAGTCACCCAGCCCAGATGTGCACAGTGTAAAGGGAGATGCCCTTCTTTAAAGTATGTTGCCTACAGCTTTCCACCCCCTCTACTGGACTCAGAGGGGCCTGACCCCACAGACAGCTGGAAGGCTTCCACTCAATACTCCCCAACTGCCTTTCTGGGAAAAGCAGTTTCTAGTTCCTCATGACCTTGGCCTGCCCCTGGAATAGAAGCATCTGTGTGGGTTGAACATGCTCCTATTCTGGAACATGAAGTCCCAGCACGCCTGGGCCCTGAGGAAGATAGATCTAGTAATAATAATAATAATGTTTTCTCTCCCACCCAAAGTCCTGATGAGCGCAGCCTCTGGGTCTCAGGCCCCTGATATACTGGGAGAGCTGAGGCAGGGGAGGACAATGTCTTGGGGGAATCTTCTTGACCCTGTGCCAGTCACTGGATGAAGGTATGAGCTAGTTCATTTAAAGATGGTCAGTGGGCAATGGGTCAGTGAAGGAGATGGCAAGTTGGGGTGGAGGGTGCCCCTCCTTTGCCCTGCCTTGTTCTCTGAGCTCCTTAATGCTGCCTCCTCTACATGATTCATGTCACTGATCCCCTCCACAACTGCCACCCCTGGTCTCTGACAGATTCCCCCTGAAGTGGGCGTAGGGTGCCCTCCCGTTTCCTGTAGAGTTTGGGAGGCCTGATCCACAGGGTGGGGGCTCAGCTACAATGTGTGGGATTATAATGAACCTGGGTGGTGGTGTCCTTTTCTTGGCCACTAAGAGCAAGGGCTGGCTGCTGTTCATTTGGTCAACAGACTTTTGCCACCTACTGAGCACCAGGCCCGGTGTAGGGAGCTGGAGAGGCCAAGATGGACACATTTGAGCTGCTTTCCTTCAGGCCACAGGGACCAGGAAGTGCAGCATTTCGGTTTGCTGACAGCTTAGTGGAGAGCCAGATCCTATGCGAGGTGTCTCACAGCCATTCTTTGCCAGAGCAGAACAGCAGCATTCCTGGGGGCAGGACAGAGGTGACAGTCCAGAGGGAGGAAGGAAGGCAGGCAGTAGGGATCTGGGGGAGGAAGAGGAAGGCAAGCATGTGCCCAGGGAAGCCTGGGCCCTGGAGGTGAGTCCACCTCTGGGAGTGGGAAGGTGAGGGTGGGGGGCTGCCCCTCCCACCTGGTGTACCCAATCCAACTCCCTGCTCCTCAGTCCCTGTCCTTGCAATGCTGCAGTTGCCCTGGCCAGCCTCTGGAGTTCTAAGGGGCTCCTCACTGTGCCTTAGTCCTGATGTATGGTCCCTGGTCCCCCAGTCAGGGATCCAGGCCAGCATCAACTGCAAGAGAAGGGGGTGTCCAGCCCCCAGAATTCTGGCTCCTTGACATGTAGAAGACCCAGCAGTGCCTGTGGGTGACAAGGGCCACCCAACCTCTCCTGCTGAGACCCATTGGGCTGTAGCAGAGCCCACCACCCAAAGTGCAATCCAGTGAGACAAGTGGATGAGTTGTCTAACAGATGGACCAAAGATAAAGGTGCTTTCCCCATCCCCACCTTTCCCTCTCAGCTTCACCTGAAGCCACTGCGGTAACCACACTACTGAGGATGCCTCTTTCCCCTCAAATTCAACCATACGAAGCTGTGGGGCCCTGACTGGATGGAGTGGAAATCTCCACCCACCAATGCCAACATGAAGGAGCCCACCCTCCTGGGCTCCTTTCCTTCCCCAGAGTGGCCAATTTCAGACTGTCCCTCTAGCCCCTTCCTCTCTTCTCTTGACCCCTACACCTCTCATCAGTCCGTTGTTGTGTGCTGCCCTTGGAGCCCACCAGCTGGTCCCCCATTTCTTCTTCCACTGCCCTTCTTACCTTTTGCAGCCATAAGTAAGGCCACAAAGGGGGCAGGTGCTACTTGGGACCCTGCTCCTTTCTCTTATATCATGTGCACTGGAGCATTGAGGTTCCACACCCAAGTTCCAGGGTTTGCTGATCCCAGCCCCCACCCCTTTTGGCCACTTTTCAGAGACAGAGTGTGTGAGCAAGTGTGTGCTGAGGGACATCTGGACTGCGCCTGGCGCAGGGTTTGGGAGCCACTGTCACTCCACAGGTTGTAGGCCTCCTCACTGTGGTTTCTAGTGGAAACTACATGACTCACCAAACCAGTCCCATCCCCGGGCTTTGAATTAGGCTCCACTTGACGATGACCTTTTATAGATGGGAAGAAACGCCCTCCTGTGGATAGCCCTTTCACCAGTGATTTTTATTGTTAGACCACGAACCCTATAATATGGTGGGTAAATGTCCTCAAAGGGTCTTTCTGATTAAAGTGGGCACCACCCCTGAGGAAAGTGAGGGTTGGTCCTGCCTGTGCTGGACTAAGCCTTTGCCTTGGCCAATCCCTACTCCTGGGCCCCAACCTTGGCACTTGCTAACCCAGGCTCAGGTTAGTGGACTCCTGTTTTTGGTGAGTTATCTGTTCCTGGCCTTTGCCCTTTTGGCTCCTATCAGTTTGTCTGAGCTTTAAATGGACTGAAAACATCTGGCTTTGCTTACATCCAGCTACTTGTTCTTCATTCTGAACACCTGGAGGTGAGCCTGTGGAGTGCTCCAAGAAATGCTCGGGCTGCAGGGGTTTTTTTGGTCGGGGGCCGGGGGGTGTTATCGGGGACTGAACTCAGGAGCGCTCAGCCACTGAGCCACATCCAGCCCTATTTTGTATTTTATTTAGAGACAGGGTCTCACTGAGTTGCTTAGCACCTCGCTTTTTGCTGAGGCTGCCGTTGAACTTGTGATCCTTCTTGCCTCAGCCTCCCAAGCCACTGGGATTACAGGCGAGCACCACTGCACCCAGCTACTGGCTGTGGTTTTTTATCTGGCTTTCTGGTCTCCTATCTGAGGGACTGAGAGGGTCTTGTGATACAGAGTGTGGAAGTTGCCAGGGTAGGGCAGAACCTGGAATCCTAAGTGCTCATCCTTCCCCAGGGGCTCTTGCAGCTTGCAGCCATCTTACAAGTAAACTCTGGCAAATTCATGGGCCCTACCTCTGGGAGTGGGAAAGCTGATCTAGGGAGATGGCTGCTGCTCCCACCTGGGCACATCCAGTCCAGCTGCCTGCTCCTAGGTCCCTGTCCCTGCTGTAAGGGTGCTGTTGCCCTGGTCAGTCTCTAGATTTGCAGATGGCTCCTCACTAAGGCTGAGTCCCTGATGTACAGTGACTGGTCCTTCCACCAGACCTCCAAGTCAGCTTCATCTGTAAGAGAAAGAGGTGTCCAGACTCCCAGAATCCAGGCTTCTTGACCTGCGGAAGACCTGGCAATGCCTGTGGGTCTTCCTCTAGGTTGCTGGATGAGGAACAAGGCTAGAATTCCTTTTCTCCCTTCTTTTCCTTGGGGTGCTGAGGATTAAACTCAGGGCCTTGTACATACTAAGCATGAGCTCTACCACTGAGCTATTTCTCTAGCCTAGGATGGAGACATTAAAATTGTAAACTGCTTACCATGACTGATAAGCATGTGAAGTCTTCATCTCATTTATAAATAGCAGACTGGAGAAACCTGCCTGGCAGTTCAAAAGTGGAAAATAAAGGCCGGGGTTGCAGTTCAGTGGTTGAGCACTTGCCTAGCATGCACAAGGCTCTGGGTTCCATTCTCAGTATTGCGGAAAAAAAGTGAAATGCAGGGGCTGGGGCTGAGGCTCGGTGCTAGAGCGCCTGCCTTACATGTGTGAGGCACTGGGTTTGATCCTCAGCACCACATAAAATTAAAGAAATAAAGATATTGTGTCCATCTACAACTAAAAAAAAAATATTAAAAAAAAGTGAAACACAGAGTGCCCATATGTTTCACTACCAGATAGTATATGCCCAAGAAAAATGAACACATTATGTTCACATGGAAACTTGTACATGAATGTTCATAGCAGCACTAGTCCCTGTAGTCAAAAGGTGGAAATAGCCCAAATGTCCTGCAATGGATGAATGGGTAAACATAACATGGTCTATTCATATAGTGGAATATTATTTATCCATAAAAAGGAATGAACCAGTGACACACTACAGCATGGATGAACACCGAGGACATTATGCTTAGTGAAAATAAGCTAGTCACAAGAGGCCACATACTATAAAACTCCATTTATACAAAGTATCTAGAAGAGGCAATCCAGAGAGTCAGAAAGCAGATTAACTGTTGCTAGTGACTGTGGGGGGTGGAACAGGGAATGACAGCTAAGGGACACAGGGTTTCTTTCTGGAGAGATGAGAATGTTCTGGAATGTGAGTGCTGGCAGTCGCATTCCTTTGTGACTACCTTAGAAACCACTGAATTTTCACTTGAAAATACAAAGGAGCCTGCAAAAGACCACCAAACACATGGGAAACAGCGAGAGACACCACAAGAAAGAGAACTCATGACATGAAAAAGAAAAGTTAAATACAAAAACAACACAGAAATCTTACAAAGAGGAGTGGTGGTGGCTCCTGCCAACTAAGTCCCTGTAGAAGCAGGGAGGGCAAGAGTGTGACTTATTGACTATAGTCCACTTGGGGACGCTGAGAGTGAATACAGTCAATGTGAATATTGCTCTGGGACAACAGGGCAGACCAGGCTACTCCAATGACCCTAGGAACCAGAGCTGTGGGGCTTTCCCTATCCCTTGACTCTAGAGAGGATAAAATACCCACTGCTGTTCTCGCCACAAAGACACTGGATGCAAGTGTCACAGGCTGGATCCAGTGGGATTGTGGGGAGCCACTCTGAATGATCTGTGTCTTCCGGCCTGGAGCGGAGAGGCTTTTGACCATCACTATATCTTGTAATGAGTGACCTGGACATTGCCCCGGTCCCAGAAATTTGAGGACACATCTTCAAACGTAGGCGTCATCCCATGGATTGAACTATACTCACCTGTTCCTTTGTGATACTACCCCTTTGTCCTGTTTGGGATAGAATATTCCATGGAAATGCCTTTGTGTATCCCCCTTCTCTTGCTCTGCCTTTGGGTGTGGCCTTCCTAGATGTCAGTCAACCTGCTGACAGCAACATCAGGAAGCTAGACTCAGCCCCCTGAAATCTGACCCCTGGCCTCATTTGAATGGCTTCTCTTCAATAAAAGGTTCAGCAAGAGCTCGCTCTTTCTCTTTCTGTCTCTTGTGTGGTTATTTCGTGCTGCACAGTTCCCCTGGAGTGACGCTGAGTGTTTTAGTCGTGGGGAACATGACATGGGATGAATTGGGAAATGGGACTTCCAAGACCCACGTTTACCTACAGCTGCAATGGTAAGACCAGAGGTGGGCAGCCCTTGCTGTTCTTGGGGATGCTGACCACAGTTGTGTTTACTGGATGGGTGCTGTGATGATGTGTCAAGTACTCGGTCTCTGCTTTGCACGGTTTCAAGGTGGCTGTAACACCTGCATTCACAGATAAGCACCCTGAGCTGGGGGAAGTGAATTTATTAGCCTAGGAATTCCTAAGGGAAAGCCAGCATTTCTGTGACTGCTCCAGGGCTGACCCCTTTGGGTCACACTGTGCACAAACAGGAATGGCGAATGAAGTATGCCTGGAAGGTAGGGACTGAGGCTACCTCAAGTGTGACTTCACCAGGGAAACGGCTCCACGCTGTTGCTAACCTGAAAGTCAACTCAGCTGCCTAAGAAAAAAACGAGTCAAGCTTTCTATTTTCCCCTGTGACTGACCTACTAGCACTTGAGGAGGAATCAGATTTCAGTCAGGTCCCCTGAGATCCTGAGCCTCCTGAAGGTTCTCTGGGCTTGTCTGAGCTTGCCTGGCTGCTGTTCCTGCTGTTCCGCCTCAGCTTTGTCTAGGGGCTGACCAGTGAACTTATTTCATTACATCCATTTCTGACGTCCCCCAAGTCACCCCAACCCACATACTGAGATCTATAAATGGCTGAGATAGAATGACTTTCCCCATATCTCTGTATTCAATTGATCTGACAGCCACCTGTGTCCACATCTGACTGGTCACCTTGTGAACATCTGGAATCCCCCTCCTCTCGACCCCCATCACTCCCCAGCTCACCTGTGCTCTGACACTCCACCTGCCTCGTGCACACAGCCTCTGCACCTCCCTCCTTCTCAGGCTGAATTCCATGTTTACTTCTGTTCCTTTCCTTCCAACAAAGAAAGACAAAAATCACATAAGTCTCCCACTTAAAAATCCTTTTGGCTAAAGGATGAATTCTCTCAGAGGCCTGTTGCCTGTTACTCCCTGCTGGTCCGTGATTAACCACTACAACCCTGGCAGCTCACACCAACACACACTCGTTATGTCTCAGTACTGGGCTTCAGAAGTCTGAAATCAGACTCACCAGGCTAAAAACCAAGATGCTAACAAGTTGGTCCCTCCTGGAGGCTCAGGGGGGAACCCACCCACATCCTGCCCTTCCCAGCATCTAGAGGAGCCCACATCCCTCGGCTCGTGGACCCTTCCTGTCTTCAAAGCCAGCGCTGCTGTGTCTTCCAGTTCTTTTCTGCCTCTGACCCTCTTGCCTTCCTCTCATGAGGACACTGTGGTGACGCTGGGCCCCGATGACCCAGGATCATCTTTCAATCCCCAGTTCCTTACTCCAATCACTTCACAGTCCCTTTTGCTGTATGAGGTCACATGGTCACAGTTTCCAGGAGGTTGGGACACAGACATCTTTGAGGAGCCATGGTTCTGCCTGCCACAGCAGGGATCCACAAATTTTTCCTAGAAAGGGTCCTAGAGCAAATATTTGATGCTTTGTGTGCCACATGGCCTGTTGCCAGGACTGACTACTTAATTTTCAAAAGTGTGGGGCCCTGTATTCATAATTATTACAAACTTCAAAACAGTCAGTTCCATGCACAATGTGCACCTCTGTGACACAGGCCCTGCCGGGGCAACTTCACCTCTGCTACGGTAGCTCTGAGCAGCCATAGGAAATGCACAGGGGAGCAGCTCCGTTGTGTAACTGTCAAATTTTATGGACAATGCAATGTACATTTCATGGAATTTTTACATGTCACAAAATACTAACTGTTCTTTTTTCCCCCAACCACATAAAAAATGTAAAGCTCCTTTTTAGCTTCCAGACTGCACAAAAACAGGCATGGGCAGAACCCCACCATTGTTTGCTGATGCCTAGTCTAGAGGATAATGTTCCAACTTCTCTGACTCTCTGGGGCCCTTCAAAGCTGGGGACACAACACCTCTCTAGTCCCAAGTCACTCCCTTCTCCCCTTCCACCTCCACCCCTGGCCCTGAACAATCCTCCTGGACATCTGTGCCTCTGCTCCTTCCAGTCCCAGCTTCCCACCTCTACCTAGCAGACCCTCTCTTATGCTTTAATCTGGTCAGATGTTACCCTCCACCAGAGGTCTATCTGTGCCCATTCCTTGTCACACTAGATGGATTTGTGTTCCGATGTGGCTGTTTCTCCCTCAGGGCAACAATGTCTCAGGTCCCAACTGGGCCTTCTTGGTGTATCATGACTTAGGGAGCCTCCACAGCTTGTGCTGGAGGAAGAGAGGGTGACTTGCAGGGGTGGCAAGGACAACCTGGAACAACCCTGGCTGGAGTGCTCTGATTCCTACCCTGAGGGCTGACACTATGCTTCTGACGAAAACAAAAAACAAATTCAAAACAGAAGACAACAACTTCATATCTTAAATCTCAACCAGTAAAAAAAGATCTCCAAGACTGAGCAGATCTGGGTTCAGAGCACCACTCTGCCCTTACCAGATATGTGCACAGGGACAATCACTTCTCTCGTCTCAGGACAGGGACTGAACTCACCAGTCAATCAGGCCTCATAGGACCTGCCCCTGCCAGTTCCACAAGTCTCCTCTGTGGCCAGTGTCTCCACAGCTGGCCCTTTCTTACTCCTGAGTGTGCTGGGCCCCCGCCTGACTCAGGGCCCTTGCATGTGCTATTTTTTTCTGCCTGTAACATTCTGCTTCCTCGTGCCTCAGCTGCAAGGCTGCTGACGTAGGAAGCCTTCCCAGATACCCCCAAATTAGTTAACTCTTCCTATTGCATGCTTTTCTGGAACTCTGGCTTTTGCAGATTACAGTCATTTGTGTAACTCATTGTTACTCTTCATAAGAATAAGACATAATAAGCACTTCATGTCAGGCTCTGTTCCAGAATTTCTAAAAGTGGGTTATTTCTTTGAATTCTCATAGTGCCCTCAGGAAGTACATCATCCCCATTTTATGGAGTAGGAGGCTGAAGCTCAGAGATTAAACAACTTGTCCAAGGCCACATGCTAGTGAGTGTGGGAGCTACCCTCTCAAACCTGTCTCTTCAAGTTGACCAAGGTCCATGAAATTAGATGCCATGTGTGACATGGTTACTGTTGTGTCCCTGAGGCTGGGCACTCACACCTCATGTACTATGGGCAGTTAACAAGTATTGATGATCTAAAAGAAACAACACCCCTTAGCCACAGGCACTCCTAGAGCCGAGATCTCAATTTCTAATACCATTCTCTGAAAAAGGAACCAGCGTCCCTTACAGAAATGGCTGATTCCAGGACTGTAGCATCTTATAATGCCAGGGAGTAAGGAAATGCTGTGGAGAGTGGGAGGGAACCAAATACAACAAAAAATCCAATGATGGACACACCCAAGGGTCACAGGAGCCAATTAACAGAGCCAAAAGATGGCCAGAGCTGGAATAGCTTGAGTAACAAAATAAAGTAGTTTTGAGTTATAACCTAAAGCATAAAATAAATATCTAGGAGTCCTTGCCAATATAACTAGATGATTGAATGAACTAATAAATGGAGAAGAAATAAATCTCCCATGCAGAAGGAGTCTAAATAATTTATGTTACATAGATATTCATCCTCAGGAGGCAGAGCATAACCCTTCACTTTTTAAGTGTGGGCTGCACTTACTGACTTATTCCAAAGTATACGATAAGGAAAGGGGTGGAAGTAGTTTGATGGTAGAAAAACCCGACAAATACTACCTCAGTCAGGTGATCAAAGCTAACATCAATAGACTCAAATAATGTTGACCGCTGTATCTGGCACAACATGATACAAATGGCAATTGACCTCTTTGGTCCTACTGCCAATAACCCATCATCATAGCTTATCATGACAAATTCCAAGAGAGGAGCATCCTAAAAAATACCTGAGCAGCACTCCTCAAAACTGTCAAGGCCATCAAAAACAAGGAGAATCTGAATCTGCCACAGGCAAGAGGAGATTAGATAGGACAATTAAATTACATGTAACATGGGATCCTGGATGTGATCCTGGAGGAGAGAAAGAACATCAGAGGAAAAACAAGTTAAGTATAAATCAACTATAAACTTTAGTCAATAACAAAGTATCACTGAGTACAGTGGTTAAGCACCCCCTGGGTTTAATCCCCAGTACCAAAAAAAAAAAAAAGAAAAAGAACAAAACCAAAGTTACCAGTATTGGTCCATTTTAATGGCATCATATTAATAAAGATGCTACTAATAGGAACCAGGTAGAGTGAATAATGGTAACTCTATTATCCCTGAGAATCTGAAATGGTAATTAAAAATAGTCTATTATTAATAATAGAGTATAGATGAATGAATGGACTTTGATTGCTTTTTTTTTTTTTAAATGGGTCTCACTATGTTACCCAGGCTGGTTCTGAACTTCTGGGCTCAAGTAACCCTCCCTCCTCAGCCTTCCGTGTAGCTGGGACTATAGATGAGTACTACCTTGTCCGACCTAAGGACTTCCTTCTTACTCGTGGTAACAATGATGATAGCACCCATCACAGGGGATTGTACATGAAGCCTTCAGCATCAAGTATATACTCAGTTCTGAGCATTTGCTATCACAGCATTAAACCTGTGCCATCCACGACACCAGACACTATCTCTACGTGACTATTTAATTAGAAATTAAATACAATTAAAAATTCAGTTCTTCTGTGGCACTAGCCAAATGTCCACAAGCAACATGGAGACAGAAGCTACTAGATTAAACAGTGTCGATATAGAACATGCCATCCTATCAGAAAGTTCTTCGGGATTAGACTGAACAATGAAGAATGTGATTATTTGTTCAGTGTTCTTGTCTCCTTGGTTCCTTTTGCAGAGGCCATCTTTTCAATCTTGCTGACCACCCTCTTTCAAATTGCAACCCCATGTTTCTCATGCCCTTTCCCCAATTTACTTTTTTTTTTTTTTAATATTTATTTTAGTTGTAGGTGTACACAATGACCTTTTACGTTATTTTTATGTGGTGCCAAGGATTGAACCCAGAGCCTCACATGTGCTAGGCAAGTGCTTTACCACTGAGCCACAATCCCAGCCCCCCAATTTATTTTTCTTCTTACCTTTTTCATCACTTGAGGTGGGATCCACTTGCTTTCTCTTCTGCCTCCCCATCTCCACTGCACAGGTGGTGACAGGTGATAGGTGACTGCTGAGTCCCTGAAATGCAGTCAGTTCAATTTGAAATGTAAATGATTTCAAAAGCATATATTAAGGGGAAAAAAAAGTCCAGAATGTAAAACATCTCCTAATTTCTTACAATGATCACATGTTGAAATTATATTTTGGACACACTGTGTTAAATAAAACATATTATTAACATCGGACATCACCTGCAACTATTTACTTTTTTTAAACATAGGTAATAATTTAATTAATCAGCAAATTTTTGTTGTTGTTGTTGTTGTTGTTGTTGCAGTGCTGGGGATGGAACCCAGGGATTCGCACATGCCAGTGCTCTACTATAAGCTGCACCCCCAGCCCACAATTTAATCAATTTAAACTGTAGGTATAACTGACAAACTTGTGGCTCGCTTAAATTTCTACTGCACAGCAATGATTGAGAATATCAGTTACTAGACAATTTTAAAATTACGCATGTGGCTTGTACGTATTTCTCCTGGACAGCACCGACCTAGGATGTCAATCCAAACAGACAGGTACGTTTTTATCTGTTTGCTGCCCAGACAGTATGTGGCAGCGAGTAGGCTCTCAATAAAATTGTAATGAATGAATGAGAGACTGAGCTTCTGGGAACCGGCTTGTTCTAATAACTAAATTGATGGAGTGGTGACCACGACCGTGCCCCACCTCCTCACAGCACCAGATGAGGAAACTGAGGCCTGGTGAGGTGACGTCAGCTCGTGCCCAGCCACACGTAGTGCGCCAACGCCGGGGCCGGGATTCGAACCTGGGTCTTGTCCCCATTACCCCTGGCGCGCTGACCGTTCCTACCTTGCTGGGAGGTGGCGGCGGCGGAACAGACACGTGAGGAACACACGGTATACGTCCGACAAAGGTCTCCAATCCTCGGCCCAGTCAGCCTCTGTGGACTGGGCCCCAGCTCGCCCCTTCCGCGGCCATCGCTGGCCACCCGCGTCTCTGCCGGCCGCCGAGCTCTTCGCAGGAGGCGCCGACCGGAAGTCCCGCCTCCGCCGCGCGCCCCAGGGTGCCGCGACAGCTACGCCGACCAATGAGCAGCGCGCCGTGGCGGACATCGACCAATGGGCGCGCGCGCCGGGGGGGCGTGTCCGCGCCGCTGGCCGGAGCGGGTCGTGCGCGCTGAGGAGGAGCCGCCGCCGCCGTCGCCGTCGCCGCTGCCGCCGCCACCGCTACCGAGGCCGAGCGGAGCCGTTAGCGCCGCGCCGCCGCCGCCCGCCCGCCCCGGAGCAGCCCCGGGCCCGCCCGCCCGCGTCCAGGTGAGGCGGGGAATCTTCGGTGGCGCCCGACAGGGTAGGCCGCGGCAGGCCTGAGCTCGCCTGGCCGGGCCGCGGGCGCCCGCGGGCCTGCACCGGCCGAGGCCCAGGCCTCGCCGAGGCGGGAGGGGACGCGCGCGGGCCGCGGCAGAATGGCGGGCGGGCGGGAGCCGGCTTGCGTGGGGGCCAGCGACAGGCCCAGGACTGGATTCCTCGGGCGCCACGAGAGGCGGGCGAGGGGGACTCGGCGTGGGCACGCGCCTGGGGGCCGGGCTCCGCAGCGGTGGCCCCGGTAGTCTTGGAAGCCCTGCATCCGGGGGCGGGAGAGTGGAGCCAGAGGCGGGGGAGTGAGTGGGGCAAGAGTCTTTACCGCGCAGAGGTCACGGCCCACGGGCTCGCTCCCCGGGGAAATCCTACAGATTCTTTTGTGGTCGTTGTCAGCCCCGCCGCCGGTCTGAAGTGCTTTTAGAAGTGTGCAAACCTTTCAGTACCTATGGGAGTCTTAGAAAAGAAAAAAAAAAATTTTTTTTTTCTGATCGCCATTTCTAACAATGCTGTTAGTGGGGCGTGGGATGTTTAGATTTGTAAAATGTATATGTTGAAAACAAACGGCATTCAACAATGGGGGACGGATGGTCTTCCTTTTGCCTTGTCTTCTCCTGCTAGGCTTACTAAAATGGGTTTTGGTACCTACTGTGTACAGGGCAGGTGGAGAAGAACTTTTGTATGGGGCTGCCCCCGGAGCGACAGAGCCCCCTCATCAAAAGTGTTCATATGAGAGCCTGATGGCCAGTGCTCCAGAAGCGGGAAGATGGGGAGGATGAACCAGCCAGAAAAGAGTTTCTCAAACTCAGCTCTACTGACAGTTGGGGTCACATAATTTTTGGTTGTGGAGCGCTGCCCTGTACATTGCAGGAAGTTGAGTAGCATCCCTGGCTTCAACCCATTAGGTGCTAGCAACATCCTTGTCCCTGCCCTCAGTTGTGAGGACCAGAATATCTCCAGATGACACCTGGGGTGTCTCCATTCTCCCCACCCCCATAAGAACCATCCCTGAACTTAAAAGTTCCCTCCACCACCGGAGATGTTCCCAAGACTTTGAACAAGCTCAGCTGCTTTTAGCCTTAGTCTTCTTATCTCTGAAATGGTAAGGACAAAAGTATTGTGCACACTTAAGTATGTGAGAAGTCCCTTGTGTTGTGCATGGCCTTTTCGTGGTAGACATGGAATACCTGATGTTATAAATAATTGTCAGTACTTATTTATTTAGCCAGTATTTATTGACAGATTACCATAGTCTTGACGTTTCACAGACATTTGTCTCCAGCCTTAGAGGTAGGAAATGTTATAGTTGCCATTTTAGAGATGAGGAAACTGAGGCTTACATGGATCATGTGGTATAACTTGTTTCATGCTGAGGCAGGATTTGAACTCTGATGCTTACCCTGAACCACTGGGCTTCACTGCTTATAATCACAGGGGTCTAGGGCACCCTTTCAGACAGTGTTTTAGGGAGTCCCATTCTGTTGCCATTGAATATCTGTGTGCAACACTGTGCTGAGGTCTGTTTTAAAATGCTGAAACTTGGGATCCACGAAGAGGCCCAGATATATAAACACCTCCAGATGTGGCAGGAAATAATGTTTCTGTTGAAGCACTTGTTTGAGGGAGTAGAATTTCATTTTGGTTATATTGAGTCTGGGATAACAGAGCATCAGGTAGAAAAGGAAAGAATTATGAAAATGCTGTCTTCTGATGCTTGCTCCGTCACTTCTTTCGCTTGCTGCCTCTCGTCTCTGTCCTCTTTCCACAGTGCAGCAAGATTGTCTTTTGTAAATGTGGATCTGGTTTTGTTCCTCCTTATTAAAAGTCTGAGTGGGAAAAAGCAAATTTTGTTATCTGTTTGAGTAACTTGAAAGAGAGTCAGAAGCCCTGAGCTTAGAATGCCAGTTCTTACATATTCAAACCCTCCCTTCTATTCTGTCCATCTGCACATAGACTCTCAACTCTGACCCTTTATGCCTATTTCTTCCTCTGTCTGGAATGCTGTTCTCCATCACCTGGTGATCTACACAGCCCATCCCAGAGCACACTCACCATTTGAAACCAACCCTGACTGCCACCCTTTCTCCACCCCCACGGGAATCAACTCTTCCTCGTTTGTGTTCTCATCCCATTCAATTTATTGAATCAAATTGAATGCTGAATGGTTAGAGAGGCGCAATGCTGGCTTCTCACCCCTAGATGGCAGTAGCGAAGTAGAGAGCGTAACCTGAGACTGTGGAGTCAGGGGAAGACCAAAGGAAACAAGCCTATGGAAGGAAGCGAGCCTGGCTTTCCTGGTTTGAATGAATCTCTCTGCTCTACTGCTGTGTCCCAAGCCCCACAGTAGGCTTTAGGGAGCCAGTGGTATATATGATGGCTGTGTAGATCATTTCAGCCACTCTGCTGAGTGTGATGGTTATACACGGCCTGATGTGGAAACACAGAAAATGGAATTGTTATCCAGACTTAGGTGAGCACAGAATCCCAGAGTGGAGAACAGGTTTGGTGGTCAGGCAAAGGCCAGAGGGAAGGGCTTTGTGGGATGCAGGATCATAGGGGCAAATAAACATGGAGGTGGAAACTTCTCCATTTATTATAGAAACACATGGGATGTGGTACTTCTGGGGTAAGAAGGATGAAGTGAATAGTGGCCAAATTGCAGGTCTGCTGGGCATAGGGCTTGTGTGTTATGAGGGACTACTGAGCACCATTAGTCCCCAAAGAGGCAGTTAGATATGCATAGAAAGAGCAGAAGAGAGAGAGAGCTGAAGGTCAGAAAACCAATTAGGAGGCAGTTGTTTCCTTCAGGTCAGAAAAGTTAGGAATATGGCTCAAGGCTGCAATGGTCAGGACAGAGAGGAAAGTGCTGAGACATAATTAGGGGTTCAGAGTCACAGGACTTGGGGGTCTTAGGTGTGGGAAGTGAGCAAGTGCATACACTTGAGTGACCCAAAGATGAGTGGTTGTTAAAAGAAACCAAGAAGGCAAGAGTTGTGATTTAGTAAGTTTTGAGACAAGAAACACATCGCTGGAGCAGAGTGCAGTAAGTGGGAAGGTGGCAGAATAGTCTGCTTGCACTTCTGAGCCCCCTGCTAACCCTGCCTTCCCCCAGCACAGATGGAGTGCTAACCACGTGCTAGGTGTGGGACAAGGCACAGGGTCTATGCACAGAGACTCACTCGCATAGTGATCCATCCCCGCTCCACCCAGAGCCTCAGAGTCAGTCGCAAAGCACTTGCACTGTCGTAGCTTGGAAACACAGAACTTAGCTGCTTGTTCATTATCACTGGGAAGAAGAAGAAATTGCTTCCTTAAAGACTTAGAACTTGGATTGGGAGAAGAGATCTTGATGTCCCATATTTTAAGGATGAAGCGGCCTGTCTCTGGTGATGTGTTGAAAGGAATGATAATCTGTTGTTGAAGTTTTATTTTTGTCTGAATATGTTGTTGTGACCAGAGAGGTGTGGGGAGGGCTGTCCAGGGGTAGCCAGTGGCCTGAGAGAGTAAGAGAGAAGGAAGGCACCAAGAGGCAGTTTTGGAGCCCTGTGTGGACTGGTTTGACCAGGCAGGTCCAGAAGGGTCAGGTAGTAGTGAGTTCCTCAGCCTGGTCAAAGTGATCCTGGAAGATTGTGTGGCAGGGTAAGAGTGCTCTTGTGCTTTATATGCCCTGTGCTTTGTTCTGTGCCTGGCACATAGTTGGCACTCCATCTGTGCTGAGGAAAGGCAGGGTTAGCAGTGGGTTCAGAAAGGGCTGGATGTAGCTACCCATAAAGAGACCTTTATTGCCAAAGGAAGTGTTCACAGGAGAGGGAACAGTACAGAACAACTCAATGGCAAGGCTGGTGTCACTGTGAACATGACACTGAGAGACAGGAAGAGGAGCCTTTGGAGGGTTTAGAGACCCCCCCCTTAGGAGTTGGTCTAGGCAAGAGGTGACAGGGATCTGATTAAGGATGATGGCAGAGAGGTGGGGGCGGAGTAGAGATATCTCAGATGTCAAACTGGCAGGACTTGGTGCTTGATGAGGTACAAAGAATGGAGAGAGGTGAATTGAAGGACAGGTTGGAGGTGTCACCCTTGGAGTAATTTGGGGTGGAGGGATTTGAAGAGGAACTAGGAAGATAGGAGATGAGGGTGCTTGTATCTAGAGACAGGGAAGTTGGGAAACACATTTATCAAATGCCAGGTGCTGTATAGAGGTGTTGACATCCCATCTGCATGTTGGGAAACAGGCTCAGGGAAGAAAGTGACTTACTGTAGTTAAGTTGGTCAGCAGTAGGGTTGGTGTTGGAGCTCAGGCTTGTCAGACTCCAGAGCCCATGTTTTTTCCTGCTATGCTGTGTTGCTTTTGTTACAGAGCTTTAACAGCTAGAAAGAGCTGGGACTCTTAGCAGGGCTCTGGAGCTGATCAGGTCCCCTCTGGTGCACAGAGCATTTGGACTGTGCCATATTCTGGCTGCATCTGACCTGCTTCTCCACACACTCCCCACACACACACACTCCCTGCCCCCACATTGGCTTCTCAGCCTGGCTGGTACAGAATTGCTCTGACTTAGCAGGAGTCAACCAGGCTGCTTTTTCCCCTCTGTAGGCCGCAGACAGAGGCCAGTAAGTTGCTGTGTGCGCTGTATCCACCCAAGCCTTCGTAATTGGGTCAGGTGGTGTCCTTAGTTATTTCCTG